CCAATCTGTCTTCCATCTCCAAACCCCCTTACACCACTCCCCCATCTCTCCAACTTTTATATCAACATTCTTTGCCACATTTTTTAACCTTGGCATATCCATCCCAAGATTTCTCCCTTTCAACCAAACAGCTTTACAAAACTTAACTCTATTACCATCACCCATTTCCCAAGTAAAGCTATTCCCCACAATCCCCACCATCTCACTACCTTCCTTTCCTAAGGATACAATATCTTCCCATATTTTTGATACCTTTCTCCTCCTAATTTCGCCTACACCCACTTCTCCCTTTACACCATAATATTTTTCTAATAGAATTTTCTTCCACAATCCTTTTGAGCCATCCACAAACCTAGCCCACCACTTTCCAAGCAGTGCTAAGTTGCATTTCCTTAAATCCCTAACCCCTAAACCTCCCTTCTCTTTTGTTAAACATACCCAATCCCATCTCAACCAACAAATCTTCCTTTCCCCTTCCCCAAACATACTCCATAAAAAGACTCTCTGAATTTTTTGAATAATTTTTAGCACACAAGCAGGAATTTGAAACAAAGATAAATAGTACAAAGGGAGAAAAGAAGGTACCGATTAAAGGAGAACCAAACGACCACCAAAGGACAAGGATTGAGCTTTCCAGCTGACAAGCTTTTTATAGAAATTTTCTATCACTGGTAGCCACATTCTTCTCCTCCTCTGGTTTTCCCCAATTGGCACTCCCAAGTAGAGAAATGGAATTTCACCCATTTTGCATTTTAGAAAGTTGGCTGCCCTTGATAGCCAATTGTTCTTTGTATTGAATGCATAAAGTCTACTTTTCTTGAGATTAACTTTCAACCCCGACATCAATTCGAATGACCTTAAAATGCCTTTCACTGTTCGAATGTGGTTCATTCTAGCCTTACCCATGATCACTTTGTCATCTACAAATTGAAGGTATAAGATCTGAAGGTTTCTCAAGCCCACATTAACACCTTCGAATAGGCCTTCAACCACTACCTTTTGAATCAAATAGTGTAGGCCTTGGGCAACTAAAAGAAATCGGAATGGAGATAGAGGATCCTCTTGTCTTAAACCCTTTTCCATCCTAAACTTCTTTGTTGGGCTTCCGTTTACCAAAAAAAAAACCCATGCTAAAGATACACATTCTGCAATCCATCTTCTCCATTTCTCCCCAAATCCAAACTTCTCCATCATGTAGTTCAAAAAATTCCAATTTACACAATCATAGGCTTTCTCAAAATCCACTTTCAAAATAAAGCTGTCTACCTTCCTCCTTTTAATTTCATCCACAATTTCTTTAAGCACCAAAATTCCATCCACTATCTGCCTTCTTCCCACAAAAGCTAATTGGTTCTCACTAATGATATTGTACATAACCCCTTCAACCTATCAGTAAGGAGTTTTGCCACAATTTTGTACAAACTTCCAATGAGGCTAATAGGCCTAAAGTCTTTTAAATCTATCGGGTTTTTTGTTTTTGGAATCAATACAATAAAGCTTGAGTTTAGTCCCCTTACCAATCTTCTATTTGTGTGAAAGTCCTTCACGAACTGCATTATATCCCCCTTCAACTAGATCTAAACACGTTAGTGGTGGAATGTAGACCGTCACAGCAACCATCCCTTTCCCCCGAGGTGTCCCTGGCTCCTGTGCTTATCCTTGTGCTAGCAGCCTTGTCAACATTGGCTCTAGAGTTAGTGGATGTAATATGAGCTCTGCTTCTGGATGTGCCAACCATTGCAATAGACAAGCCAATGTTGGATGCAAACCCCCTTGTTAAGTGTTGTCCTTGTGTCACCGTGTATGCCTAAATATAGCAGTAGACACTAATGGTAATATGGTATTAAATAAGTCTGGATGCTGTAAGTATAAATAAATTGTGCTGCTTTATTATATCTGAAAAGTATGTGGCCATGAACTTAATCGATATATATATAGGGAAATGGTACATATATATTATGCTACTCTTCGCATTAAATATGGTGTGCATTTATATATATAATATAATAAATATTATATAAAATACTACCCTCAAGAATTAAATAAGCACTAAAATTTATCATTTTTGTTTTAATTATAGAAGAAACTTTGTTTTTTTCTTTTTTATGAGAAGAAGAAACTTTGTTAAAAAAATAAGAAAATATTATTTTTACATTAAAATGTAATAAATGTATTTATTAATTTGACTTTTCATTTTCTTTCTCTTCTCATCTTATCTTTATCTTTTCAATTATTCTATTATTATTAAGATGAATAAACCCCAATTTTATAGAGGATAAAAATAAATAATTACAATGTATATCAATTATTAAATGCATGCTAAAAGCTAGATATATTTATGGAGGTAATACTTTATTTTTCACATTAACCTAAAATTAATAATTATTTATTATATAATTTTAATGGCATAGTAATTTCATATTTTAAAATGTATTAAATTTATTACAAATAATAATTAATATGACTTAAAATTAAAACCGATGCAAAAAGATTATAACATTCTTAATATGAGTGACATTAATATATGTTATAAAAAGAAAGAAGATAAAATGATATGTAAAAGATTGATTAAAATTATTAGTTTATAAGTTAATTAAAAAGATGACAAAAGAGTCTAACAAATTAAAATAGGTATTTAGTTAAAAGAAAGAATATATTTAGTTGATAAAAATAAAATGTGTAAGATAGCTGATTTATTAGAAAATGTGTTATATGTATTTATTAACAAATTTATCATATACTCTCTCTATGTCAAAATAACTATTGATTTTTTACTTTTTCTTCAAATTAAGTAATTAAGGACATTTTTTATATTTATTTACAATTTAAGACAAATTTAAAATAAAAAATACTTATTTTATTAATAATTTCTTAATACTTAAATTAATTAAATTTTTTCAATTAATAAATTATTATAAAATTAAATAAATAATATCAACAACGTAAAAATAATCCTGTGCAATGCACGGGTTAAAAAACTAGTAACTACTAGGCTGATAATCGACCTCCAATTAGGGCATTTAGGTTTTCAAATTAGCGCATGCTGCCTGCAAGGCCAATTCTATTAGATACATCCTACTAATAATTACTTAGGGATGTAGCCTCAGTGGATTTAACCATTTTAAACAAATGACTATTTAACTTTCACGATTCGCACGTGATTTCGCTGTTAATTAACATAAGAACTAATTTGCTCAAGCCCAAGCATCTAGAGGGTTAATAGTTACATTTTTTCTTTTAGGGCTTATGTGAGTAATAGGAAAAATCTGGGGGCTGGGGTTTTGCCACTTTTTTATGCTTTAATTCCTGGATCTAACAACTATGATGCTGCTTGAAGAGAGAACGGCTATGACTTATTCGATAGCATATATAATATAATGATTTTAAGTTAAGATGGATGTGGCTCTCAAAAACATAATTTTAAGTTGTTATTATTAATTAGTTTTGAACTAAACCAATGAAATAAACTTATGAAATTGTATCCGTAATTTTAACAAAACCACTTAGGCCTCGCTCTTCGACCTCTTGCTACAATTGATCAAAATGTCAGAAGTGAAACGCATGAAGATGCCTTGTGCTACATTTCCTAAATTAATGGTGTGTTTAGGGTTGCTGTGAAGTGTTATAGCTATAGTTGCAGCTATGCCTATATTGAATTGTACCTGTGATTGAAATTTATTTTGGTATTTGATTATTTATTTTTTAAAAATATTATGAATGAAATATAGTAGATTTTATTAATTATTAATTAAAATTTTAAAAATATTGTAAAATATATAATTATTAAAATAGATAATATTTACTATTTTTAATAATTTAAGTATTTTAAATTTGTTATTATTATTAAAATATTATAAATTATGATATAATTAAATTATTATAAATTGGGTTTTAATGGATAATTTTGTAATTATATTAAATATTAAGTATTCTCCATCAAAACCATAGTTAGAAAGCTCCAAAATGAGATTTTCGGTTTTATATATATAATTACTGTAGATTTACCGTGACTTTTTGCAGTTTTTAGAAAAAACAATCTAAAAAAAAAATTACCAAATACACAAATATCTAAAAACACTATACAACTATACAAAAAAATTTCCAACCACAATCCCAAATGCACCCTAAGAAACTACGAAAGATTCTTTTTATATAGGACATAGATAGCGAGTGGTGTACACAATACAATGAAGCTGCTCAACTTCTCTTACATTGCTTTGGTTACTGCTTTTAGAAAATTCAGTGAGTGCTGAACCTTAATCATTTTCACACTGTCTGGTCCATTAATTTAGCAATTATTTAAGAACGGATTGTTTTTAAGGGATTAATAAAATTGGACGAGGAGCCAACGAAACTAATTATCTTAGTAATAGTCACTTTTTATAGTGAGAGTAAGAAGTTATAAATTCAAATTACATGTTATATGTGTAGGATGAGATATGGGACATGAGAAAGTTACCCCTATTATATTATCCAAAATATATAAAAAAGAAAATAATTGGTATATACTCAATATAAAATACAATATAAGTATAGTTATATTAATTTAACATACTTTCAGACAATTATCTTAGTACAACTAATAAAATACAAGATAAATATAGTTGATTTAGTTAATTTTTGTATCATGTAGATATGACTATATCTTTAAGTTTATCTATTTTTAATTTCACACGAAAAATAATAATTTTTTAATAAGTGAACAGATTTTTTATCCCATTCAAGTTAAATATTTGGATATTAATAGATATGTCTTTTGATTCAACACACTATATATATAACATATTTATTAAAAAATCATTTTTTCTTAATATGAAATTAAAAGTAAATAAACTTAAAAATATAACCATACATATAACATGTACGAACTAGCTGAATTAACTATATAGTTATATTATATTTTAATAATTAAACCAGATATACGTCGAAAGAAGCGTCAACCTAAAAGGCATACCAATCATTTTTCTTGGAGAAATGATTGGTATATCCTCTAATTCAATATACTTATCAATACCCACCAATTCAACCATTAAAATCTACAATTTTAAGTTTTTTTGCTTTTAATTCAACTTTAAAAATAATAATTTTTGAATGTATATGTTGTGAAATATATTAAATCAGAAGATGTATTAACTATTGTCATTTTTCTAAATATTTCTGTCACGACCCAGAACCCAAATCCGGGGTTGTGGCAGACGCCGTACACTCGTGAGCGAAGCCCACAAATGCACAAGGCTCGAGACCTACTGAGTTCTTACTTAGCAATTCAAATTTAAGCCTTTTAATCTACCAAATAGTTACCAGTCGAATGTACAAAATTTATCACTTCATATATACAATCATGACTAACACTAAATTCTGTACACAAAAATTTCTATGTCAAGCATGGGTGACTAACGGCTTAGCTACAAAAACCTAAGTCCAAAAGTGCCTAGCCGTCTAGCTCGTCACTCCCCCGGGCTTCCCACGCGTCGGGTCTCACTACCTGAAATGGTGGACAAAGAAACCGTGAGATAGAAATATCTCAGTAAGTAAACATGGGGGCCAGACATCAAAGTTTAAAGCATGCCAAATAATCGGTTGAAACATGAACA